CCCCCCCCCCCCCCCCCGCCCCCATGTTTCCCTGCATTCACTGGCTGTGCTTTCCAACCACATTCATTGGCTGTGCTTTCAGGCAGTTCAAGAAAGCTGTGACAGATGCCATCATGTCTCGCCGAGCAATCCGCAACATGAACACACTGTAAGTGGGCTTGTCCCAGCTGCTCTCCCAACTCTGTCCCACACCCCCTTAGGCTCCCAGCTCTGGTCCTGACACAGCCCCCCTCCCCCGTGTCCTAACCAGGTATCCAGATGCCACCCCTGAGGAACTCCAGGCAGTGGACAACGTCTGCATCATCTGCCGAGAAGAGATGGTGACTGGTGCCAAGAGACTGCCCTGCAACCACATCTTCCATACCAGGTGGGGGCGCGCCCCGGGGAGCCTGCCCGCCTGCACAGGCCCCTCGGGACCTGCTGACCGCTGCCTGGTCTTGACTCCCAGCTGCCTGCGCTCCTGGTTCCAGAGGCAGCAGACCTGCCCTACCTGCCGTATGGATGTCCTACGGGCATCACTGCCAGCCCAGTCACCACCGCCCCCTGAGCCTGCGGACCAGGGGCCACCCCCAGCCCCCCACCCCCCACCACTCCTGCCCCAGCCCCCTAACTGTGAGTGTCTCCTCATGTCACTGGTGGCCCTGGGTTGGGTGTGGAAGACGCTGGGTAATGGAATCTCTGTCCTCCAGAAGCTCAGTCGGCTCAGGGAGGGGTGAACGCATGAGGAATAGATACGCACAGTTGCTGTGGTCCATGAGCTCCAGGCCCCACAGGAGTAGAGGCCAAAGCTCCTGTAGCCAGTCCTGCCTGGGAGTGGGGTCTCCGCAGCTCAGCCCCGTCTCACCACCCTCTCCTCTCTCTGCAGTCCCCCAGGGCCTCCTGCCTCCTTTTCCTCCAGGCATGTTCCCACTGTGGCCACCCATGGGCCCCTTTCCGCCAGTCCCGCCTCCCCCGAGCTCAGGCGAGGCTGTGGCCCCGCCCTCCACCAGTGCAGGTGAGCCTTTGCCACACTTCGGCAGCCGGGGGTGTGGCAGGGATGAAGAGGGGCCCCACAGCACGTTAACTTCTGCTCTTTGGCAGCCCTTTCTCGGCCCAGTGGAGCAACCACAAGCACAGCTGCTGGTTCGGCCCCTGCACCTGGCTCCGCCCCCGCCCCCGAAGCTGGCCCCGCCCCCGGCTTCCCATTCCCTCCTCCCTGGATGGGTATGCCCCTGCCTCCACCCTTCGGTAAGCTGGGCCACTCTGGGATGTACTTGGGGGTAAAGCATCAGCTGAACCCAGGCAGCCCAGACTTAAGTTTCCACCTTTCTCCAGCCTTCCCGCCCATGCCTGTACCCCCCGCGGGCTTTGCGGGGCTGACCCCGGAGGAGCTGCGGGCTCTGGAGGGCCACGAGCGCCAGCACCTGGAGGCCCGGCTGCAGAGCCTGCGCAATATCCACACGCTGCTGGACGCGGCCATGCTGCAGATCAATCAGTACCTCACCGTGCTGGCCTCCCTGGGGTGCGTCTGCATGGAAGAATGGGGGTGGCGCTGCCAAGAACCATCTCCAGCAACCATACTTACTGAGTTTGTCCTTAACACCTGCTGACTCAGGTCTCCTACCTACAGCACAGCTGAGTGCTCTTGATTAGAGCTGACTGGAGCTCTCTTATGGTTTCTAAACTCGAATTATCCCTTGTCTTTTTTTTTTTTTTTGTCAGTCGTGGGGCTTGAACTCTGGGCCTGGGCGCTGTCCCTGTGCTCTTCAGCTCAAGGCTAGCACTCTACCACTTAAGCCACAGCGCCACTGCTGATTTTCTGGTGGTTAACTGGCGATAAGAATCTCATGGACTTTCTTTCCCAGGCTGGCTTTGAACTGCTATCCTCAGATCTCAGCCTCTTAAGTAGTTAGGAGTACAGATGTGAGCCACCAGTGCCCCGCTTAGTCCTCACTTTTGTGGCTCTGACTCCTCCCTTAACATCCTCCTGATGCTGGGATTGTCCCTGAACTCAGATAGGCTGGCCTATCTGCTCACTTGCTCTATGGCCTCCTTTACCTTATTGGTACAGGACTCCTACTTCCTAGACCTAGGTGACACATAGAAAGCACTGGCACCCAGCAGGGGCTGCACAGGCCTAGAAGGACACTGGAGAGTGATGGGAGTGCGGACGTTCCCAGGGGGAGGCTGCAGGATAGCAGGGGACCTGTCCACAGGCTGAGGCTGCAAGAGATTTATAATCCAAGTGCTGACTGTCACTCGGCTCTTGGATTGGCCCCATCTGCGACTCCATTCCACATTCAAGTGCACCTGTGCTCACTGGAGCCCCAGGGGTACTGTGCTAAACACAAGGGCAGAATCCTCTATCTGGGCCCTTGTCCTCTCTTACCAGGCCCCCCAGGCCTGCCACTGTCAGTCCCACCGAAGAGACAGCCTCAACAGCGGTTACTGCTACGTCCTCCGCCAGCAACCCCAGCTCTGAGGCTCCCCCTCCACCGCCAGAAGCCTCCCCATCAGCCTCTGAAATGGAGAAGCCTCCGGGTAGGTGTGATCAACTTCTGGGGGGATGGGCTGTGGCCTTCTCAGGGTTCCATTCCTAACCTCTGCCCCCAGCTCCTGAGACAGTGGGTGCCGAGGAGCTGCCTGAGGATGGAGAGCCTGATGCTGCCGAGCTCCGCCGGCGCCGCCTGCAGAAGCTGGAGGCCCCCGTTGCCCACTGACACTGCCCCGGCCCTGGCCCTGCCCCCGCTCTCTTGAGCAACCCTCGCTGGAACACGTCCTGCCACCAAGTGCCAGCTCCCTCTCTGTGTGCACCAGGGAGTAGTAACCCCAGCTCTGAGGACGAAGTGGGGGGCATCCCCAAGGCCCAGTGGAAAGAGGTTGGCCTCCTGGCTGAGAGCTGGAGCCCTCGGAGCCCCAGGAGGCCATGGGGACGGTGGGCAGTCCCAGGCTTCTTCTCCACTGTCCAGCCCTGAGGTCTGCTAGGGCTGGGAAGGCAAAAGGCTTGGCCTCTGAGAAGCCCTCTTCTCCACCATCCCCCCCCCTCCTTCTGGGAGGAGGGGCAGCCCCTCCGGGCCCTACTTGTGTGTGTGGGGTCACGCTGCGTGCTGAACAGTATTAGCTCCCAGTTCCAAGTGTGGACCCCAGAGGGGCTGGAGGCAGGTCAGGAGCTAGCCCCGCCCCCCTGCCAAGAGTGGTACCGATCCTCTTCTCACCCCAGTCTCCCCCAGAAGCCCCTTTGTGATGGTGGCTGTGCCCCCTATGCCCTGTGGCATTTCCACGTCTTACTGGCAACCACACAACTCAGGGAAAGGAGTGCCTGGGGGTAGGGGGGCAGGCGGGCAGCACTGAGGGACCCCGCTCCGCCCCTCACCCAGGCCCCTTTCCCCTGCAGCTTCTCAGCTGGGACTGACAGTCTCACCCAGCAGCCACTGCCCAGCCACATGGGCTGAGGGCCAGTGCGCTGCTCCTTAACCACTGCGACCCTGGAACTCAAGGAAGATCACTCCTGACCTGCAGACCTGCTCTCCAGTTCAGGACTGAAACTGCTTCCTGACCTAGTGGCTTTTGGCTTAAATTTTGTCTTTAGAATCTGAATGCTTGACCCCAGGAAGGAGGTGCCGGAGCGGGGTTCCTGCTCTCTACAGTCAGTTCACAACAGGCTCTGGGCCAGGCAGGGACCACAGGAGCCAAGGCCTCTGCCCAGCCCAGTCTTTCTTCCCCTTGGTTTTGTGTTACAAGAGTTGCTGGAGACAGTTTCAGATGATTATTTAATTTGTAAATATTGTACAAATTTTAATAGCTTAAATTGTATATACAGCCAAATAAAAACTTGCATTAACGACCGGTGGGACTTGTGTCTAGGATCCAGGCCAGGCTCCTCTTCCTTGCCCAGGCTGAATCTTCAGGAGGGAGGATGCTGTTGTGGGTCCACTTGACTGCTTTACATATGGAGAAACTGAGCCCCAGAGAACTTCAAGGCTCTCTGCCTTAGGTTAGAGATAAGTAGGGTAGCCAGGAGCCAAACCCTGCCTTAGCTGCTTAGATGGAGGAGTGGGAGCGGGAACTCCGGGCTTAGGCGGCTGTGGCTCTGAGGGTGGAACAAGTGTGAAGTCTAGTTGGTGCCGAGCGGGAAGGATGGCCGGCAAGGGTGTAAAGGACCTGCACCTTCACCCTCCCACCTGCAAACCTCTGTCCAGCCTGGATTCTAGTTCAGCAGCCTTGACAGGATGGCCTTGGGCTGGGCTCTCAGAAGCACCAAGATGCCCCCTTGTGGCCAGGCCAGCCCAAAGCAAATCATTTAACTTGTGGCAATGGAAACCTGGTCAGGCAAACAACTCTGGTCTGGAATGGAGCAGGGACCTCTCCAGGGGCTGACATTCTGTGCTTCCTCTTCTCCAACACTGCTTTTGGAACTTTAAGATGCTACTCAGGACCCTGTGTCCACAACCTCCACCAGACGGAGTCTGGCCTACAGCAAGCGCCGGGAAAGATCTCAGTGAACCCCAGGAAGGCTAAAAGATTAATCTGTAAACCCTCCCTAAACAGGGTGGGGCAACTGCTTCCACCAGATGATAATCCCTAGAATCTGAACAGCTAAATCCAAGGAATCCCAAGAAACAAGCCACTATGAGTGGAAGGACAGCAGCTAATACCCTCCCAACTAGCTTGAGAATGGTTTTTCCTGGTGGGTCTCCCATGCTGGTCAACTCTCTCCCAGTGGACCCTTGTATGGAGGAGTCTGATTTCTCCCTTATTCAATCAAGGCCTGACTTACCTAAAGCCTTTCAGCCTCACACTGGGATCAGCCCGAGCCCGTAGCCCTGTTCCCAAAGGCTCCAATGTCCCATTCCCTCCTCCTGAGGTCCCCTGGCTTCCAGCCACACAGGTTGCTCAGTGGGGCTCAGAAGCCCTTCTCAAGAAGCCAGGTTTTAAGTTGCTCATCAAAGTAGCCCTTGACCCGCAGAGTACCTGTCACCTCATTAACCTGGGTGACTGGTTTCTTCCCCAGCAGTGGGCTCAAAAAATCTTCTACATCCTTCTGCAGAGCCTAGGGAAAGAAGTGTCAGGCTTAGTTAATAATCCTTCCTTTCCGGCAGCCTCCCATCCCTTTAGCTCCCAGACAGTGAGAAGGAGGCTGTAACCTACCCACCCTACCCACTTACCCAGATGTCCCCTTCCACCTTCCGGATCACAGTCATCTGGCGGTTACCATGTGTGATGTCCCTGTAGACAGGAATGTTGTACATCCGGGAGCGCCGCACAACATAGGGCAGGTTGGGTGGGGGGTCTGTGACAGGGAACAACAGTGATAAGCCAATTTGTTCTAGACTCCATCTCACGTAGCCAAGGACTTCTCCCTCACAAAATTACCCTCTGCATCCAATTAGACCTGCCACCCTGACTTCAAGTCAAGGTAACTAGCTCTTTTTTCCTTGTCAGACTAAACTGTGCATCATGGTACCTTTAAGGTCCTACAAAAGAACTGTGACCAAGTAGGTACTCAAGAAAAAAATGGAGTCATGCCAAGCACTGGTGGCTCACAGCTGTAATCCTAGCTACTCAGAAGGCTGAGATCTAAGGATGATGGTTTGAAGCCAGGTAACCCTCATCTCCAACTAACCACCCAAAATCCAGAAATGGAACTGTTGCTTGAGCAGTAGAGTGCTAGCCTTGAGCAAAAGAGCTAAGGGACAGTGCCCAGGCCCTGAGTTCAAGCCCCAGGACTGGCATGCGCGTGCACACACACAATCAGAGCATAACTCCTTGTGTCTTTGGGTTCCCTCTGGGGCCAATCTTTGTCCTTTTCAATTGAAAACAATTTCTGGAACAAAGGGATACACATGTAAAAGCAGTAAGCACCTATTTGCTGGTCTCTACCCTAAGTGGTTCATGCGCTGAATGGATTATCTTCAATTTGCTTAAATTGAACTTGGAAGAAGCTTAGTGACTTAAGAGCTCACCAACAGTGTAGAGTAGAGCCAGAGCCAAATTCAAGCATATAACTGCCTGACTTGCAAGTTGTGTTCTCAAAAAAGGTAACATGTGCTGAGGGTAAAGGGAAGTTTTGTCTCTATGATTTACTTTCTCCCATGTGGAAACATTCCCATGCTACTAGCTTGAGAGATATGGCCATTAGTAGAGGGGTCTACTCTTGAGTCATTCCTTGGACATAAGGCAATGCTACCCTTAAAAGATCTCAAATATGGTGGGCGCCGGTGGCTCACGCCTGTAATCCTAGCTACTAAGGAGCCTGAGATCTGAGGATCTGAGGAAAGTCTGTGAGACTATATTTTTTTTTTCGGTCATGGGGCTTGAACCCTGGACTTAGGTGCTGTCTCTCAGCTCTTCAGCTCAAGGGGTGTGCTCTATCACTTGAGATACAGCACCACTTCGGTTTTCTGAGTGGTTTATTGGAGATAAGAGTCTCACGACTTTCCTGCCCAGGCTGGCTTTGAACTGCGGTCCTCAGATCTCAGCCTCCTGAGTAGCTAGAATTACAGGCACGAGCCACCTGCGTCCCACATGGCGCTCCACTTTTTGTGTATAATTCAAATAGTAGAGTACCAGCCTTGATCAAAAGAACTGAGGAACAGCATTCACACCCTGAGTCCAAACCCCAGTCCTGAGTCCAAACCCCAGTCCTGTCCGGCTGTCTGTGAGACTCATCTCCAATTAACTACCAGAAAATCAGACGTGGTACTGTGACTGAAGTGGTAGAATACTTGCCTTGAGCTGAAGAGCTCACTCAGAGACAGCACCCAGGCCCAGAGTTCAAACCCACAACTGACAAAAAAAAAATTAAAAAAAAAAAAAATCTCAATATGCCACACTATTCACAATAGCCAAGATAGGAAAACAATCCAGATGCCCCACAATAGATATTCATCCAAAAAATGTGGTACCTACAATGGAATTTTACAAAGGCATTAGAAAGGATAAAATAATGTCATTCCCAGGGAAATGGATAGAACTAGAACAAATCATGTTGAGTGATGTAAGCCAAGATCAAAGAGACAACCGATGCATGTTCTCCCTGATATGCTGAAGTTAGATTTAAAACACAATGGGATATGACAAATTATACAGGATTCTAGACACTCACAGTGAGACCAAAAGAGGATAGTCTTAGGAGAAAATCATCAAGTTGTAATACCAAAGTGCCTGTTTATATATAAAACAATATACACATACTGAAACAGAACTCCAAAGAAAAGGATGTTTTCTTAATTTGTCTGTTTTCTAATGACTCCTTTTTTTTTTTGTCGGTCATGGGGCCTGAACATTGGGCCTGGGCACCATCCCTGAGCTCTTCAGCTTAAGACTAGTGCTCTAGGGGCTGGGATGTAGCTCAGTGGCAAAGCGCTTGCCTAGCAAGCGCAATGTCCCGGGTTCGATCCCCAGTACCAAAAAAGAAAAGACAAAAAAAAAAAAAAGGTATACTCTTTAGTATGGAGGTTCCTCAAAAGACTTCACATAGAACTCCCCTATGACCCAGCAATCCCACTTTTGGGCATTTACCCAAATGCTTACAAACAAGA